ATCGAAGATCAGAATCCGTGATGAGGATCCGAAGGAGGCACTGGAATCGTCCAGAGCTAAACTCGAACAGCTAATTGCCGACCGCACTAATGCTCTTCAGGTTCGTGGGCACTTTTCTTCCAACTTCCTTGTTTTCTACGGCAGTTTCCGAATCCCATTCCAACGTTGATCTAGATTTCAGCTAAGACTGAAGGTTTTCAGCAGTTAATATTTAATTGAACATTTTAGACTCATAATAAAATAGCTCCCATTTTCATAAAATAGCTCCGATTTTCTGTGAGATTAACTCTTGATCAATATTTTTAGTTTTTGTATTGGTTGACTTTCACTTTGCAAAAAAATGGTTTCCGGAATTTCTCTCTATTACGGGATGAATCTGTGGCCCCAAGAATAGTTGTATGAGACTTTAATGGGCCGAAAAACGGTCTAGACAGGGCGCAATAAGGGCTATAATACCGACTTGGCTGACGCACGCACTCAGAGCCGAGTTAGGCCGGCTTTATCATTACTGCGCTATTCTCAGGACCAGATAAATAGTTCGCTCATGTGAGAGACACCCAGACGGTTACAGACGACGATGTCGTTAAACCTCCTAATTCGCCATTTTTTAAAATTTTATATTTCTAAAAATTCGTCGATTTTCACGATTTTTTCGCCACCCATGCACTATTTCGCACCCTGGCTTCCATGATTTCACCTAAAATAGATACCTCGGAGTTATCGTGAACTGTGCCTTCAGGGCATTCTCGCCAAACTCGACCTTGTGATTTTATTTTCTTACGTGACCCTTAACCTCATGTGACAAATGAACGAAATTCCTCATGACAGTAGTCCATCTGGCTGGGGTTGAAATTCACGCAAAACATGGATCAGTTTGAGGGGTGCATTCACTGTCCAGACGATTCTTAATTTTGACCATATCATTCTTCAAAGTCTATCAGATCAAGGTTGAACCAAAATTTCGTGAACGTTTATTGCAGCGCCTTAAAAAAGTTGGTCGATTTGCGGGTGAGCTCTAGGACACGTTGTCTGAGCCTAATTCGCATGAAATTAAGCGCCCGGCATACATATAGGAAGGAGTCTACAAAGACGGGGAGTATACTAATGAAAACCTTCGCTTGGCCTTTAACTGGTAGTCATTCATGCCGATTCCTTTTTATTCGCAAAGTTTGAGGGTGTATGATTTGGATAACAATTGATTCAGCTGATGCTCACAACCTTCAGGACAACGCTTGATATCTATCCATACTGCACATTCTATGAATATACATAGTTCTCCTGCGAGGCGACCGAGTATGGGAATCTGCTCCGAAGGATTGCGAAAATTAGATTTAATCATATAGAAGATAGGCTTTTGTCTCGTTCGGCTCTGCCTACGTCCTCCTATTTCTGCATGTTCATTCCCTGGGGATAGGTTATCCGCCGCATAGCTATGCGAGGGATTCGAATCGATCTCTAATTAGGAAGAGCGGCCCACCAAGAGAAAGTTGTGTTGGCGCAACTACGATGAGGACGAAGTGAATGGATCACGAGGAAAAACAAGGAGCCAAGGGGGACTCAGGATTGTTTTTGTGAGGTGCCTGGGCGACGCCATGATGACAGGTGCCACCAGCAAACAACCTTCTAATTCCTAGCCAAATTGACGGCGAATTAATTTTCCTTGTGGGTGGTCTCCGCTTCTGGAAGGTTTGGAAAATTCTCAGAAAAAATTCATAGAATAGACACGGAAAGCTAAGAAGAATAGGAAACACTGGGATTAAGTATTCCCATGAATCTAGTGAATATATAGATTGGAAGTTTTCAGTATGACCCAGACAAACTACTACTTCTGCCCATCGAGGTGCCCGAAGGTATTTGCATAGTTGAGAGCCCCAATCTCCTGCATCTTTTAAGGTTATCAAACAACTCCTGCTACAGAAAGGCATGATCTTGGCTAGGAGTTACTCAAGGTAACGGCGGGCCTTCCTGAATAGATATGTTCTCGAAGAAATTTTGACGCGAAACAGCATTTAATACTGTTTTGAATCCTCCGCAGCTTGCTTGTGAAAGTGCAGAATCCTTAAGCCCTTGGAATCCCACGGCCCAGATACATTTCTCGAAGCAGCGCTGAGACGATTTTTTTTCATCACCATCAGGCGAAAGTGTGTGCGTGTATGTTTATATTTATTCGTGGAATATGCTGAGACTTTCTTTGCTATAAAGCTGAATATCAAATTTGAGAGAGTTCTAGTCAAGGGGATGAGGAGATTGCTGGTTGGTGATAGAAATGATAAGGGTGCTGGTTGGTGATAGAATGATAAGGGCAGTTAGGAGGCTTGTTAGGCCTTCGAAGTGATGGAGGTTGACGGCACGAGGTTGAAAGAAGGTGTGAACAAGTATTAATGACAGGTAGAGGATGATTAAATGGAATTATCAAGGGTTCCTCTGCAGCTTTTGTCATTTCAACTAAAAGCATTATAAAGGACGAGAAGGTGGCAAAAGTGGTAGAGGATAGAAGGTGATAAAACTGATAAGAGGTCTCCCTAGAAGCCACACAGCTACAGAAGTACTGCAACCCAGGAAGACACATTAAGGACAGGACTGGGTCTCCAATAACTGGCTCTGCTCTTGAACACCCAGGTAGACAAAAGTGAGTGTTTTCTCATGAAAAAAGCATTCATTTTTGCAAATAAAGGCTTGGTGTAACCTACACTTATTTTGTGGAAAATTTTGAATACTAGCGATGAAGAGGCCATTTTCCATTACGTGCAGTCAGTGAACTCTTCAGATTTTGAAGTCTCACCCTATCTCAGTTGCTTCAATCTCACTTCCTTGAGGCACCCTTCATGTGATACCATCTTCATTCCTATGTAATTGCACTTGCCCTCTTGGCAAGCTATGATTGAAGATGCTATTAGTTATGATCGTGAATGCAGACTTTCATCAAAACAGGCATGTCATAAGGAAGTGGCTGGCGAAAGTTGGAAGCAAATGATGAAAAGGCAAGCTGAAAAGTACGGCTTCAGAACTCACGCTTACTTTTGATTAAAGCCATTGCTAAAAAAAGTTGCTTCGAATTAGGATTACTGGAAAAATTGAAGTAATTAGCGGAGGTGGTGTAGTGGTAAGTGGCGCACTATATCAACGCACGGTCAGGGGTTCGGATCCCGGATCGATGCCCAAATAGGCCAACCAAGCTTTCCATCCCTCCGGGGTCGGTGAATTGGTACCAGACTCGTCTGGGAGGATAAAAGCACTGACTTGTACATCGGCTGGCCACCGCAAGTCATTGTATAGGTCACATACGCACTCATTACGCCACTACGATTCCGAATGGAAGTCGAGTGCGGGGGCGCATCCCTCAGACGGGATTGATTAACGCCAAAAAACTTTATCCTATTTTTTTTATCGACACAATGATTGAAAACTGAAGATCGAAGGAAAGAACCAGGGATATAATTATAAATGATTGTTGCATTTTTAGAAGCTGACTCGGAGTGCCGAAGGATCTGCTCGTTCTTACACTGCCTATGACGATTCACAGGTCGGTTTGCCAATGCTCCATGGTTCGTAGAAAAAGGAGGATGGTAGAGAAAACTGAGCCGCTACCAAGTGTCGTTTCGAACAGTCACTTTCTTATTAACAGAATTAGCAGTTTTCTGCATTATCAGTTGAACTAAAAAGTTGCCTTCCCTAATAGAGGGTTCACTAAACTGTCTTCAGTTCTCGTCGCCACAGGATGAGGCTGTTTGCGCCAAATTCGAGCAACTTCTCAACGAGTCCGATGTTCGTGAGGCATCGAACTCGGCCGCGAGGACTTCAGGAGTTCACGTCAATATCGAGTCCTACCGATGTGGTATGTGTATTCTTCGAAAGTCTATGAAGACAAGCTCATTTTGTCTCCATTCTAAATGCATGAATGGGAGCCAGGCTAAAGCATATTCCGAAGGTAATTGGCGGAGAGGATTGATTACGCTATCGAATGCCTTTACGACCCTGTAGAAGAAGAAGCCAACGTGCTCTCAGAGCTTTGACTGACGGCCATATCAATACCTTTCCTTTTCGAAGAAGTGGTTGAGATAGTTTGGCAGTGTACATACTCTATATGCAAAACCAAACTTGTAAAAATTATATTCTAAAACGGTTGCCCATCATTCTCAACTAGCCTCTAAATACGCCTGTCGAAGAAGGAACAGACGATACTCGTTGGGTATGTTAAGAAGCTCACAGGTGAGGGCCCATCTCGAAGACACGATTTATGCGCCATATTAGTACGTCCTTTAAAATTAGAATATGGGTACCCGATTCACTGGTATGCAATGGTTTTCTTCATCTATCAGTAACGGACCACAACGAAATTCACTCACATAGAGCAATAATGGCATGTTATTTATGATAATAACAACGATCCAAAAGGGATTGATGTGGTGATAATACGATACAAAAAGTGAGAAATTCAAATTGGACTACGGATGAGCCATGCATTGGACTCCAAGTCAAAATATTAGAGGCGCTAAATGTTTTAGCCTTATCTACTGGTTTCCACAGATCAGTGCATTTCCAAGTCCTTCTATGATCCAATTTTCAACCTCCAATGCTCATAGGCTCAGGCTATGGAACATAGAAGGACCGTATATGTTCCCTAGAATGGGTGTGTGAACCTTGAAGGTTGGCAAGAACCATGCTGTTGTAACTGAAAAACATCCCCTGAAACTCTTTGTGGATCCAAAATGCGCTACATATAAAACTTTTTATCACGGATATCAACCTTTGAAGGGCGGAGGCGGAGTTGCTCCAAGCAGCGATTTTGTACAAATGGAATCAAATTTCACATCCAATTTCCAACCTAACAAAGCAATCTATCCAAAGGAAAGTAGTTGATCAATACAGGGTCGTCTTCTGAGGCTCTCACCTCTATAATCATCGGTTCTGACCAAAAAAGCAAATCACGACCACATCCTGGGAGTGCTGCGCTCACTGATTCGATATATTCTTACATTAGCTAAGCCCTGATTAATCAGAGGTGGGAGACAAAAGACCGATTTGCCCCCTTCCCGCATTTCTTCGCTGGTGCATAAAGGATAGAGGATAATGTTTTTGGCGTTAACCAAGCCCGTCTGAGGGATGTGTCCCCGCTTTCGACTCCCAGGCAGAGTCGTAGTGGCGCAATAAATGCGTATGTGGCCTATACAATGACTTGCGGCGGCCAGCCGATGTACAGGTCAGCGCTTCTACCCTCCCAGACGAGTCTGGTACCAATTAACCGACCCTGGGGGGATGGAAGGCTTGGTCGGCTTCGACGGATATCCATCCGGGACACGAACCCGTGACCATGCGTGTGTGAAGTGCGCCTCTTGCCATAACACCACCTCCGCTAAGGTGCATAATTTATAAAAAGCAGCTGTACACGTGTTGTCATACCGCAATAAAGAACTTCATCACAAATGTGATCCCATTTTCAGACGCCACTGTCATACGTGATTTCGGCTGGACTGGTGCTGAAGTTGTTGAGAAGACCATGGCTGAGAATAAGAGGTTGGTTTCCGTGAGCGTGGTTGCTCTGTGAAAAATCATATTTAGAGCTGACGAGACGATGCGACATCAGTTCATCGGTACCTACAGCGGGCTGACAAGGATGTACCCAAGTAAGCCTTCTTGATCTGATCACTTGTCTTGACTGACTTGATTAAGAGGAATAATTGCTACAAATTCTCAGGACGCTATTGGAGAATTGAACCTGCACCGATCACAATCGATTTGTACGATCCGAAATTTCGACCATGGTTTGTGAACACTGAATCGGCACCAAAGGATATCGTGTTTCTCATTGATTAGTGAGTATTTCTCTGGACTGGTACAGCTCCAATTCATTGCTTACTTCCAAATGAGATCTCCATTACGCTGAAATCTTTATGGTTTCTCAGAATCTTTTCCGTCCTTCGTATATTCGCACGGTTAGAGAACATAGTAGAGAAAAACATTCTCATAAAAGTATAACAACCAGGTGAGCACTATGGTAAGGTCGTAGACTTCATTAATTCAACCGACAGCATATACTTCTGAGGGGTGAAATGGCGGTTGTACAGTACAAGCTGATTGGAATTGTTTTGACGTTCGAGCTGCACTCTACAGCTGTCCATTACATCAGCGTTGTGCATTCAGAGGACAGCACTGAATTGTACCTCAACAAAAGCAAATACAAATTATCAGCCACGACAACGCACTACTTCCTTTCAAGCGTCAATCATGTGAAAGACATCAAGGGACTAGCTATGCTTCTAAAACAGATATGTTGCGTCTGCATGCTTGCTCTTCATGAGCATTCCGAGCTTATTTGACTGTCTCGATCAGAAGGGGCCGAATGCATGGCGCAGCTAGAAATAATAAGTCAACAGCGCGGACTTCATCCATTGCCCAGTGTTACAATGGTTTTTCAGACAAATCACCTGTATCACCTGCCGTCCCGTTGATCATCGATTCCCTCGAGCGGGTGCCAGAAACGCTTCCATTCGTCCCTGACACAAACCAGAGTGGTCCAATGAATCGCTCCAGGGACACAAGGATCAACATTCCTTTCGTTCAGAGCTTTCGTGAAGAAGTCTGACCATCTTGTTAGTGGCCGTTCTGGAGTTCGTTTGATGTCCCGAGGGATCCAGTCCGTAACCGCCCTGGTCCAACGGTCATCACTATATCGCATAACGTGTCCGGCCCACCTGATCTTCGATTTCTTGGCGTAAGCAACGGTCCTGATCTTCGTTCGTTGACGGAGCTCGGAGCATCGGCTTCCCTTCTGCACTTGCGTGTACAGGGAAATTCCGAGCATCGACCTTTTCAAAGCGCGTCGTGCAACGCTGACAGCATGCTCATCTTGCTTTCGTAGAGTCCAAGCCTCTGATGCGTACGTCAAAGCAGAAAGAACAGTAGTGTCGAAAAGTGAGCGCGGAGCCGGATGTTCTTTGTTTTCTTCACTACTCCCTGGATATTCTTAAATGTTCCCCATGCGGCGCGTTTCCTTCTGCACAGCTCCGGAGTTAGGTCGTTCATCATGTTGACATCCAATCTAGATAATCATAGGTAGAGCATTCGGAAATACTCTCTCAGTTTAGCGTGAAGGGAGCATCAGGTACCCATCCGTTTTTCATGAACATTGTCTTCATTAAGTTTAGTCTCAATCCGATCTTTCCACAAGCATTGTCAAACTCAGCCAGCATTCGTTTGCCTGCTCGATATTCGGTGTTATGAGCGCAATGCCGTGTGCAAAGCGGAGGTGATGTAGATAGTGGCCGTCAACCTTCACTCCCAAGTCTTCCCATTCCAAATGACGCATGATATTCTCGAGGGCGGCACTGAAAAGTTTGGGCGAAATAGTATCGCCTTGCCGGACACCTCTCTTCACGCTGACAATGTCTTCCTTATAGAATGGTGAAATCCTGGTCGTGAAGCTGTCGTAGAGCTCACGAAGCATCCTTATATATTGCGTAGGAACACCCTGGTTGCCCAGGGCTTCGATTACCGCTTCTGACTCGACGGTGTCAAGAGCTTTCCTTAGATCAATGAACGTTAGACATGACGGCATTTTGTACTCTCGCGATACTTCAATGAGTCTTGTAAGAGTGTGAATATGATAGATAGTGCTGAACCCTCTCCGAAACCATGCTTGCTCCCATGGCCGTCCTTCATCTAATATTCTGCCAATCCTATTTAGGATGGCGCGAGTGAAAAGCTTATAGATTACAGACAGCAGGCAGATTGGGCGATAATTGCCAATATCGTCTGGATCTCCTTTTTTGTACAGCAACACAGTCTTGTTGGTTTTCCCCGAAGTGGGCATTTTGCATTCCGACAGGTACCGCGTGAAGAGCCTATCCAGAGTTCTGACGATAACTGGTGGACGACTCTTCAGATGTTCTGGTTTTATCCTATCGGGACCGGGCGCAGTACAGTCCTTCATCGACGTGATGGCATGTCGTATTACGGAAGGGGGAACCGAAGGAGCGATATATTTGTCTTGCCTAAGGTGGTGGGTAGGCAGGTAGACGTGGCTGCCGAAGAGATCCGAGTAGAAGTCGTAGATGACCTTCTCCATTGCACTTCGAGATGCAGTAACTGTTCCGTCAGGGCGACGAAGGGAAGTCATCTTGGTCTTGTGATTGGCGAAGCTCCGTCGGGCTCTGCGAATGCTTCTTCTTTTCAGCTTCAGCGGCTTCAGCCAAAACTGCTGCTCTTCTCTCATTCAGGTCTTCCTTTATCGCTTCTCTGCATAGCTTCGCAGGTTCGGACGTTTGTTGATGACTGCC